TTTTTTTTTTTTTTTTTTTTTTGAGACGGAGTCTAGCTCTGTCACCCAGGCTGTAGTGCAGTGGTGCGATCTCAGCTGGCTCACTGCAAGCTCCACCTCCTGGGTTCACACCATTCTCCTGCCTCAGCCTCCGGAGTAGCTGGGACTATAGGCACCTGCCACCACGCCCGGCTAATTTTTTTTTCTTTTTGTATTTTTTAGTGGAGACGAGGTTTCACCGTGTTAGCCAGGATGGTCTCGATCTCCTGACCTCATGATCCGCCCGCCTTGGCCTCCCAAAGTGCTGGGATTACAGGGGTGAGCCACCGCGCCTGGCCGGCTTCTTCCTTTCACTATAGATTTCCCTCTAAGCATGACTTTCAGTGCATCCCATAAGTTTTGTTATGTTGTGTCTCCATTTTCATTTATTTCAAAGTATTTTATAATTATCTTCTTTGGCTCACTGTTTGTTTAAAATTACACACAGCATCATGCTCTGTTGCCCCAACTGATTTCAAACTCCTGGGCTCAAGTGATCCTCCTGCCTCCGCCTCCCAGAGTGTTGAGATTACAGGCATGAGCCACCGTGCCCAGTCTCACTCACTGGTTTCTTATGAGTGTGTTAATTTCTTCATATTTATGAGTTTCCCAAATTTTTCTGCTTTTGATTTGGTTTTTGTTACCCAGGCTGGAGTGCAGTGGCACAATCTTGGCTCACTGCAACCTCTGCCTCCTGAATAGCTGGGATTACAGGCATGGACCACCACGCCTGGCTAATTTTTGTATTGTTAGTAGAGACGGGGTTTTACCATGTTGGCCAGGCTGGTCTCGAACTCCTGACCTCAAATGATTCGCCTGCCTTGGCCTCCCAAAGTGCTGGGATTACAGGTATGAGCCACTGAGTCCAGGCCTGAAAGGAATGAAATCATACGAAGTATGTTCTTTGACCACAGTGGGATGTAATTCCAAATCAATAACAAGGCTGGGCGCAATGGCTCTTGCCTGTAATCCCAGCACTTGGGAGACCCGAGACAGGCGGATCATTTGAGGTCAGGAGTTTGAGACTCAGCCTGGCCACCATGATGAAACCCTATTTCTACTAAAAATACAAAAATTAGCTGGGCGTGGTGGTACATGCCTGTAATCCCAGCTGCTCAGGGGGCTAAGGCAGGAGAATTGCTTGAACCTGGAGGGTAGAGTTTGCAGTGAGCTGAGATCATGCCACTGTACTCCAGCCTGGGCAACAGAGAGAGTCTATCTCCAAAAAAAAAAGGACTCTTGCTTTATGGCCTGGCTGTGGTTGAGAAGAATCTGAATTCTGCTGCTGGCAGCTTCCCTCTTGTTCTCTCTCTGTCCCATGTCTGTCATGTGAAGGATGCTCAAGTGGGCCCAAGGAGGGGTTCCCATGGTGAGGAACAGGGCCTCCAGCCTCACTTGGGCCTTCAGATGACTGCCTGACAAATTCTCTTCAACCTCAGGAGTCAGAACCACCCAGACCAACCACTCCCATGATGTTGACCCACAAAAGCCGAGAGAGCAAATATTTGTTGTTTTAAGCCCACTACGTTTTGCTGTAATTGGTCACGCACCATTAGATAACTAATACAATTACCCATACATCGGCTGGCTTTCGGGAGGACACGTCTTGAAACACAGCTGAACTTGAATCTTTTCTGGGGAAAAAAAAATTGAAAACATGAATTAATAATTCTTCTCTTGTTGAAGCTGACAGAACCAAGGACGCACACCTTCTTAACGATGCTCTCAAGGCTGTGAGGAGAAAGACAACCAGTGGGAATTCAACGCATCAATTACCTTCTATAGTAACATGAGCTACTGGAGCCCCTAAGAGTCGATCTTCAGCTGCTGTCATGGAAAGTACTGGGGGTCAACTAGACATCAAAGATGAGAGGCCAGGCCTCCAGCACAACTTTTTGTTTAAGCTCATTTAGTGGCTTTCTCAAAGAAGCCCTTTTTTCAAAAAAATTTTTGTAAAGATGGGGTCTTGTTCTGTCACACAGGCTGGATTGCAGTGCATGGCTCACTGCAGCCTCAACCTCCCAGGCTCGGGTGATCCTCACCTTTTCTGAGGAGCTCAGACCACAAGCATGCACCACTACGCCCAGCTGATTTATAAGCTTTTTTTAGAGACAAGGTTTCACCATGTTAGCCAGGCTGTTTTCTTCTCTTTTTTTTTTTTTTTTTTTGAGATGGAGTTTCACTCCTGTTGCCCAGACTGGAGTGCAGTGGTGCGATCTTGGCTCAACGCAGCCTCTGCCTCCCAGGTTCAAGCAATTCCTCTGCCTCTGCCTCTGCCTCGGCCTCCCAAGCAGCTGGGATTACAGGCATGCGCCACCATGCCCAGCTAATTTTGTACTTTTAGTAGAAATGGGGTTTCTCCATGGTGATGAGGCTGGTCTCCAACTCCTGACCTCAGGTGATCCACCTGCCTCAGCCTCCCAAAGTGCTGGGATTACAGGCGTGAGTCACTGTGCCTGGCCAACTTGGATTTGTTACTGTTTTACAGGACATGGCCCTTAATATTCACATGAATGACAGTGAGACACACAATGCTTTCTAAAGATTGGTTTTGGCTGGGTGTGGTGGTGCATGCCTGTAATCCCAGCTACTTGGGAGGCTGAGGCAGGAGAATCGCTTGAACCCAGGAGGCGGAGGTTGCAGTGAGCTGAGATCGCTCCATTGCACTCCAGCCTGGGGAACAAGAGCAAAACTCCAACTCAGAAAAAAAAAAAAGACTGGTTTTACGTTCTGTTGATGTGAATAATTGGTGTGTACACAAAAGCAAAGTCTCCTCAGTGGGTGCCTGGCCTGGGGCATCAGTTCTGAGCTGGCAGAGATGAGGATACCCACACCCCTGCCCCTGCCCCACACCCTGTCTGTACCTGGATCCTCCTGCTGGGCCGTGCTGGGGAGCCGCTCCTTTTGCCTCAAGGCCTCCAGGCCTGCCAGGTCGGGCTGGTGGCAGTGGCTGCGCATGACCATGACGCGGTGGCCCTGGGTGATGGCGCGGCTGCGGCAGCCCAGCCGAGCCTGGTCCCGGCACATCCAGTACACCTTCTCCCCGGCCGCCTTCTCCTTCCTATAGAGGAAGGACTCGTGCACCAGGAACCTGCCCCCCAGGGAAGTCCTCAGGAACTCCAGGGGTGGGAGGGGTTCTGAACGGGAAAGTGACACTGTGAGTAGGGCCACAGGGGCCTAGGTGTCAGGGCTGCGGGTCTAATTTGTCCCCCAAGCCAGGCTCCACCAGGAATCTGCAATCCCCTAGCAGGCCCCATGGTGGACACTGCCCTCCTCCCCTCTGGGCCCTGAAGCCTGAAGCTCAGGCCCTCCAGCCCCGACTTCCACGCTGGCTGGCCCTTTCCAAGGGCTCTGGTGATGCCTGGGCAGGTGGCCTGGCAACCACTAGACCCTGAACACTCCCAAAGGACTCTCCCAAGCCCTCAGACCTCAGGCTTGCAGGCGCATCTCCCAGGGCTGGGGAGGAGCCATTCTGGACTGGTCACCAGGGCCTCCTGGCTCCCTGTCCACCTACCCCTCAGCCAGCTGGCAGCCATCTGGCCTCTGACTTTTAACAAGCTGAACTGAAAGGTCACATGATGTTGTGACTGGGGAGAACCCCACGAGACTAGAAGCTGTGTGGGTGGCGTGTGGGGTAGACTAAGTGTCCGGGATCCACCGTATGGCCCGTCAGCAGATTCCAAGCAGTCTCTGCCAATGCTACCTGTGGTCGCCATCCCTTTCTTAAGAGAGCGGAGTGGGTTCCTACCCCTGACAGCCAGTCCCTGTTGCCCTGAAGACCAGCTGCAGGAGCTCAGAGCCTGCA